ATTAATAGGATCTTCAACCGGAAAATGCATTTCGGACTGGCACGTGACCGATGATCGACAAAACCTGGCACAGATTTCTTGGATGCTAGTTTTATGAGCGTTTTGGCTTGCGTTGCTCGCATGATTAAACTTACATAAAAATTTATAAATATTTGAATTTTCTCAAAATTACATAATATTACGTAATCTTCCAGTTTAATTGTCCGGAGCAAAACGGAGGGTGATCAGCATGATCACGTGAAGTTGTCTGTCCGGCTGCTTTCGTGAATATGATTGGTTGAATACATGTTATCATCTACATATCTACGTATTTATCCGGCAAACTCATGATCATGAAAAAATTTCTTTTTGTTATTTTTTTTTCATGTGTTACTATGTAATTATGTTTATTCCAGTATTCAAAAATTAAAACTCAGCGAGCGACTCCCTACCAATCATGATCATAAATTGCCGGATAACACCAATATTGGGCGAATTGTCGAATACGGCAATTTGGCAAATGATTGGCTACACGTGCCGCTTTACGGCACGTGCTCATTTGCCAAATTACCGTTATTCAACAATTTTTGCCCAATATTGTATACATAACAGATAATACAGACCTTTACAGTATACAACTACGAACTAAAAATAATTCAATTTATTATTTTTTTAATTATTTTTTAATATAACTTTATATCTTATGCTCCGGACTTACATTGGTTTCCAGTTCCTAGTGATAATGAATTATAGAAATGTAAAACTTATACTGTATATATAGGTGTCGTCAGGCGAAAACATGCAATTTCGATTTTTGCCGGCTCTGCCTTCTGATCCGATTTCTAATAAATTTAAATTAAGCACAACATATATTATATGGTGTGTTAAATCACATTTTTCGGAGTTTAATCTGGGTTTTTAAATTTTTATTTTTACGCGTTATGCAAACTTAATGTCTTTGTCATTCTTAATTGGGATATGAACAATGTTAATAACATGCAAAAGTGAACGATATACCTTATATTACTAGAATAGTAAGTTTTGCAAAAAGAATTTTTTACAGCAATTCATGATGACAATCACGATAATTCCTATACAAAATTAATTCGACCTTGATTACATATTATTCTCACTAGAATAATGAATTCTTTAACAAGATTATTTACAGCAACTCATGATGAAATTACAAACTAATTCGCCACATATTATGATTACCGGAGTGGTAAGTAAATTTTGTACCAAAATTTTTTACAGAAATTCATGATGATAATTGCGATACTAACTCTAACAGAATTCTTATGATAGGAATTACGATAATTTCAATACAAACCAACTCAACTTTAACTACAAATTATTGCCACTGGAATAGCAAGTAAGTTTTACTTTTAAATACATGCTGACTATAATAGCAAATTCTATAACATAAAGGAGATTTTATATCAACCCTTGACAGAAATTACAATACAGTGAAACCTCTCTAAGTGCACGTTGTAACGGGTTCCGAGGTGCCTTTCCGACCCAAGAAAAATTTTTTTATTTTATTATTCCTTTTAAGTATAGTTTATCTCTTTCCGTATTTGCATATGTGGAACCACAAAAGAGCACGGGTATGTACGTACGTACGTACGATCGCTCGGTACTTGCCTTTTTTAGTTAAACACAATTAATCTTCACAATGTTCGTAATGTTCCTATGTACCCGATGTTCGAAATGTTCGGAATGTTCGGAATGTGTCATAAGTTTCTAATGTTCGAAATATTCCTTTCTTCAAACTGATGTAATTACGACAAATGTACTCGTAAGTGTGTAAAAAATATATAAGCGACGTTTTTGTCGCCAAGAATAAAGGTCAGCTCTTTGAGTTCCATATGTTCGAAGTTGATCCTAATCCCTGGACCAAACTCATCCGCGCCTCTATCGAAGTGCCTTGTTGATTAGGATAGTTTAGTATTAGAGTATAATATAATTTAGTGTGTAGATAGTTTAGTGTTATACTACCCGGAAAGTTTAGTCATCATTCACCTTTACAACGTACTCGAGACCAGAATTTAATAACGTGTACTTGGAGAACAATAAGAAAGGTGCATTTATGGAGGTCATGTATATATTTGGGCCAGAATCTGTGTTTGCACTCACTGTACAGCATTCCTGGTTTTAGTTTAAAAACCAAATAGCTGCAAACTTTCCAACTAATCGATTTGAAAAATTTTTAAACAACTAATCATTCAATTATAATTCCAAATTAGGCGGCCTAATCCGTGATTATTTCTTGGATTTGATTGGCTAATTATCTGATAATGTCATGTGATATGAATGATCGATTAGTTGGCAACTTAGTTGGCAACTAGTTGATTAGCAAAATTTTTACCAACTAGGAACACTATGCGTCGCGCAGATACCCTAATATCAATAATGCTTGTGACCTGCCAAATTCCTTTTTTTGATAGGATATTATAGAGTCAGGTTGTGTTTAGTTTTAGGAACCAGATTTTGACAGTTTGCTTTATAGAACATAATAAAAGTCGCATTAAAGGTTATGCTTAGAGTATTATTGCATTTATAAGAGTAAGAATTTTAATTGAATTTGATTTTTATATAGAATTTATTCGGTTTTGGTAGATTCGCCGACAACAGGGATGGATCAGTTCGTCCGTCCTAGTCACTATAAGACCGATTTTATAATGGTTATAGTCCGGTGAGTCCATTTTTCAGTCCTAGAATCGGTCTCGCGACTTACAATCTTTTAATGCATAATGTTAAAATTTTTATTGATTGGCGGCCAAATTTTTAATAATAAAAATATAAAAAATACAGCACATAAAATATGATTATGTATTTTATATGCGAAACTAAATTAGTATAAAAAATTATGTACATGGATGTTTAGCAATCCAATTTGCAAATTCTTTTTTGAAGCCAATTCTTTAATGGAATCGCACTTGCCACATCAATGTCTATTACATAGAAATTAGTACATGGTTTATTTCTTTGTGTGTTTTATTTTCTTTATCGTTATATTAATTTATCAGCAAGTATTAGTAATCGTTAGGACTAGGACTGGTCATCACGGACCAAGGACCAAGAATTATTCGGTCTTCAGTCCTTTACAGTCATGACGATCTACCTATAGCCAATGCTAGCTATAAAACAAGCCAATCTTAACCTTAAATCAGGCTAAATTTGTCGTCGAGGTAACTATCGGCGAAATGAAAGTAGGTTATACCAATTTATTTATAAAATCAAGACCATAAAATACTTGAAATACTATATTAAGAAGACTTCGATTGAGTCGTGAAAAGACTTGGTATGAGTAATTAGATTATGGCAATTAAAGCATTTGATTACATCACGAGCTTTTAACTCGGGATCACGGAATTGGATCCCTATTATCTAATAATTTTACTTGCTTCGTGGAAAGAGCAAGTCACGTAAATAAAAAAATACGTTGTTCATTTCTTTTATAGAAATGCTTAAAAAACGATATGAAATTAAATCGCTGAATATTTTTTACGTGAGCGAAGTAAATTCAGTTTTTATGAATAAATATTTGTAGGTTGTTTACATAAATATTATTTTGTTTTTAGAAAGCTTATAAATAATAAGTATTTTAAAGTTATGATGATTAACTCAGTATTTAAAAATAGTATTATATAGAAAATTATGTTTAAACATTCATTGTAATGAAGGGACGTTATGTGGTCTGGTCAAGACTATTAGACTATAGTTAGCATAAGACCAGTCCGAACATGAAAAAATTTGACCTACTCTTAGTCTTAAACCCCGATTAGTTTGGACTGTCAGAAATAACTTGGTCTTAAGATTATAAACCATAGTAGGTTAAATCAGGACTGGATCAAATAGACCAAACAAGAACAGAATCAAGCTTTTAGCATTTATATTGTAATGACTTTTTCATCTATCAAACGTTGTTTGTTTCTTTTTACAATGTTTCAAATATTTACTAACGATTCACGGGTCAAAAAAAAAGAGAACTGTTTATACTTTTTTATTTTTTTTTATATATTTACTATGAATTTATCGATAAAAGAACAAAAATTTTTAAAAAAATTTATATATTTATAAACAATAAATTTACAATTGAATCCTCGATTATTGGTAAAACTAACTTACGCCCACAATGAAATTTAGCTGGTATTCCTTCGTCTCCCAAATTTATAGCTATAAAGCAAATAAATTTATTACATCCCATATTTCTAAATAAGAAAAATACGAAAGAAAAGGTTTTAAAAAATCAAAGACATCGATAAAATTGATTCACAATGCTTAGGATGTAAAAGTTCCTCATTATAAATCGAAAATGATCATTGGGTAAAAATATAACAAATTAAAATACGATTATTGCGCATCCCGAGTGTTTTGTGGCTCTTGCGGCGTTCCTTGGACTGAAGATACACTTTCTTCATTTTGAATACTTTTTTCCTCTTGTGGGGGACCTTCGTCGAGGACAGTATTGTTGTTGCCTTGATCGGAATTGTTTAGTTTATTAAAATTTGCGACTATCACAGTTTGCTCTTTATAAAAATCACCACTACCAATATTTATGCCACCACCAACCAACGTAAACTTAATACATATTTTATACTTTATTTCTACAAATGTACCAGAATAGCTGCTATTTAAATCATCGGGAACTTTTAAAGTAAGATTCTGTTCAAGTCTATTATTTGAGATTTTTGCTGGCTCTTCGAAAAATGTGCAGCATTGTTTTCTAGTTTTAACAGGCTCTTCGTCACTTTCAAAAGTATACTTGGTAACCTCCTTCAAGGATATATCTATCCTTACGATTTTAACTTTGCTTTCGAGAAAAGTAACTTGAATAGGAACATAAATTGTAGTTCCAAGACCAAAATACTCAGGGACCTTAAAGGAATATTCAAAGAGTGGCTCATTGGAAATAGTATGTTTACCTATTACATCTTTATAAGGTGTACTGAAATAGGGTAATACTTGGTTCAGTGGGCAATAAATTTCGCACAAAGTTTTTTGATTGAAAAATGTCCCTGGGGTACTAACAGTTACACTAAAAATATAATAAATTCGACCATTTACGTTCTTCTCTTTATCACCGATTAAGAAAGAACTAGACAAATTCGAATTTAACGGAAATTTGAAGTCGTAATGTTCCATTGGATCAGTTCCTTCAAGAGAAATTATTTTACTTTTTTCTGTTAATTTATAAAAGCCGGAAAACCGGCTTTTTATTCTTCCTCCAACTGGCACGTAATTTGTTTCTTCGATACCCTTTAAAGAGAATTCAATGGAATTCACTTTAATTCTTCTATCAAAAACTAATTTTCCTTCCAAGCAACTCTTTGAAAGACCGAGTTCTCCTCGTTGGAATGTATTATAGCCATCCGCATGTTCAAATCTTACGTTTGGAGATTGAGTTTTGTATATGATTTCGTGGGATTTTGGCATTTCTTACATTTAACTTGAAAAAAAAGTAGTATATACAGAATGTTATCGCAGAAATTTGTAGTACGTATAATAGATTATATATATGTATCTGAAGTTGGGAATTTGCAAATAAGGAGTTTTCACATAATTTAGGAAACTAGCAGTATGTTATATTGGTTTTTTTTCGTTTCAGGTATCCATCTTTTTTAATTCCAACAGGTTTTTAACAAGAAATTTACAAAATTATACGTATATGAAGTACTCTACTTATATGCGCTACTATACAGTGAAAGAAGCCTCAAATTCTTTGTCTTGAAATAGAAACCAAGTTGTTATTCACCTTATTTGGGCATAATGGTAATAAACGTTGCAGTTTTTTGTCGTTGGATAAAGAGATGCGAGTTCGGGTTAGGTCAGTTATCAATTAACCTATTTCTATAAAAGGAGATTTGAATAATCCCATAAAAATTGAACCACATTGGCGTTAGAGATAAACTAATTTTATCAATTGTAACAGCAGCTTATCAAACGTATCAAATGTATCAAATTTATTAGTAGGGTATAGTCTTGGCGTATGCTTCATATAAATAATAAAGATTTTCATGCTTCTTATATTTAATAAATACAACTAAAGTAAAATAAAATATTTTAAATACTTGTTAGAAACCTGTTAATATTTGAAAAAAGTTAAAAGATTTCATTCTTATTATACAAAGCTATATCCTTTAAGTATTGAGAAAAGCATTTCCATGAGTTTTAATCGTAAAGGAATTTATTGTATAATGTCTTGTTCAACAATATCTAGACATGTGATCAATAATACATAGCTTCATTTTAATCATTTTATTTATATTTGGTAAAAATCTTTGGTTCTCGGGCCGATCTCTCCGCGCCTTCTTCTATTAACAATTTCAATGACTTTTGAATAAAAAAAACCCTGAACTATACTAAATATAGATGGAATAACCTAATATGTGTAATCGCTAATATTTCTAAGTTCTTTATTACTAAAAGCTCCCGAAAACACTAATTAAATGTTATATGTAGTTAGTTAGTGTTGCGTCATTTGTATGATAGCTAAAAAAAACTATTTTTTTAAAGTATAATACATAGTGATCTGCTTTCTGGCAGAAGTGATCGGCAAAAATTTTAACTTACATACAGTACGTACAGCGCTGCACACAGTATATCATTAGGCGTAAAAATATAATGGTGAAAATACTGTACCTTAAATTCTTTGTTAAATAACAGAACGGATAATTTCTCTTGAGAATAATCGTTAACGTTAAACAAAAAACTCCAAAATTTATCGGGACACACTGAACCCAGTGATCGACAATCACATGATAAACATGTCATGACGTCATTTGTTTACCAGAACTAAACAAACCGGCCTAAACTAACTCAAAACTAACCCTAACCTAGGCCGAGTGATTGTCATGTGATACCGTGATGATTACTGCGTTCAGTGTTCTTTAATCTTCCCATTTTATCAATGAAAGTAAGCATGCATGCATGTTCATACATTCATATTCAAACATAAATTCTTTTGGGATACAATGAACTTTTCTAGATCTTATAATAAATCAAAAAAACAAAACCTGAAAAAAGACAAAGTCACAAATGTATAACTATTTTGACCGCCTCTGGCTCAGAATGAACAATAAAGTTTTTGCTGATATACTTCTTATGGACTTGGGAATTTTTTTTTTGATATAAGATATTTCATGAGTGTCGCAAGGAAAACCTAATTTTCCATTTTTTGGCGTTCACTTTGCAGGTTATTGACTCTAATTCTCAAATATAGTTAAATTTTTATCACTCTTCGGAGAATGATATTGCATACTCCGTAAAGTGCCAAACCTGAAATACAAGATTGGCTGGTTTTCGTTTAGCGATGTCCACAAAATGATAAAAAGTATTTGTTTCCTTTAAATATCATTGTTTCTATATTCGTAATTTTTTCATATGCAAATAAAGTATTGGTTTGAGGCAAACAACCATATAATTATGAACTGTAATGTAACTCTGTTCGAGCATAATTTTATAATAAATAACTTGCTCAATAAATTTTAGTTCCCCTTTATCTGATCTATTCTCACGATGAGCGAATCTCTATACATTTCTCTTGACAATAATCAACAACTTACTATGACAAACGACACTAATCCTTCTGAAAAATTTATTCGTGGTGATGTCGCCTGGGTTTTGACCGCGGCATGCTTTACATGGCTAATGACACCAGGAATTGGTTTATTCTATAGTGGCCTTGCTCGGAGAAAAAACGCTTTATCTTTAATTATGCTATGCTTCTTAGCTATTCCTATAGTATCTATTCAGGTTATTGATTATTTGATATTTAATTCTTCATCTAAACCATCTTAAAAAAATTCTACTAACATGAGTTATAAATTCCTTATAGTGGTACACATGGGGTTACAGTTTGACTTTTAACAAAAATGCTGGTCCATTTATTGGTAATCTACAGAATGTTTTCTTCTTAAACCTTGATTGGGACTCCGGTCCAACAGATGCAAGTCAAAATATTCCAGAACATGCTTTTGCTGTCTTCGAATGCATGTTTGCAATTCTTTCTGCTGCCATCATCGTTGGTGGTGCTGCTGAACGTATAAGAATATTTCCTACAATTATATTTATCTTCTTTTGGTCTACACTCGTTTATGATGTCATCGCTTCATGGTGTTGGTCTAAAAATGGTTGGATTGCAAAATTAGGTGGTCTTGATTATGCAGGTGGTATACCAGTACATGTATCATCTGGTGCATCCGCCCTTGCTTTCTGTTTGATCGTAGGTAGACGTCTCGAAGACAATGGCATGAAGCCTCGTAGAGTTATTGATGTAATTCCCCATAATATTATTAATGTTGTTATTGGAACTATATTTTTATGGTTTGGATGGTTTGGTTTTAACGCTGGCACAGCTATGGCTGCCAATAAACGCGCGATAATGGCCTGTATCGTTTCAAATCTTTCTGCTTCATTAGGTGGACTTACCTGGATGTTTTTAGATTATTGGCGTAATGGAAACCTATATGCCGTTAGCTTTTGTAGTGGTGCCATTGCAGGTCTGGTCACTATAACTTCAGGTTCTGGTTATGTTTCTCCTTTTTCAGCTGTAATTTTTGGTGTAATTGGTGGTGCCGTTTGCAACTTTGCTGCAAGATTGAAATTTATACTTAATTTCGACGATTCTATGGATGTCTTTGCTATTCATTGTGTTGGTGGTTTAATTGGAAGTATTTTAACAGGCGCCTTTGCTGATAAATACATTGCGCACTATAGTGGTGAGGTCATACCTGGTGGTGCTATTATAAACGGCAATTTTAACCAAATTTTAATACAATTATTGGCAGTTTTCGTGGGAGTGATATATTCTTTTATTATGACAATCATTATTCTATTTATTATTGGAACATTTTTACGTTGTAATTTAAGGTTAAACGAAGCGGGTGAATTGGACGGTACTGACATAACTGAACATGGCGAAGCCGCTTATTGTTTTGCTGATGCTCCTGAAGAAAATGTTATTAGAATTAATGATAATTGAAATCAATGATCTTTATTTTATTTTATTTTATTTTTTTTTGGTTTAAAAATATTAATTAACATGTACATGTATTATTTGCAAATTAAGAATGATTGTTTCAAAATCGTTATGTATTTACCGTGTAATAAAAAAAAAAAGAAAAAAAAACCCGAAAATAAGAATTATTACATGCTTGCCTAAATGTTAAATACTAAGTCATGCTCATGCAAAAAAATAATATTAATCTATGTTCAAGAAAATATGAATGTTTACGCGGTGAATGTAAGAATTTCTAATTACGATGCTAAAATTTACATGAATACTTAAATATAAAGGAATTTATAGATAAGTGCCCAAAATGCAAAATACGAACGTATAGCGGTCAATGGACATGTCCAATGATCTGCATATCCTTATTGGTCAAAAATTCAATACCAGGAACGAATGCAATGAGTATATAGTTTATGTACTGTTGAAAGCGGTATTTGTCCGAAAATCTTAGGGTTGATTGTCCGTATGATTTAGTAGTCAAATTTTGGTTATTTTTTGCACATGTATTCATCACGCGATTATTTTTCGCGTATGAATTCATCACGCCCAATATATACAGTATTCTTATGATATGTATGTACGTACATTATATGGCAAAGATCGAAAAAAGTACTATTACACTAAAACCTCTTCTAAATCTGTCTGATGCAACTAGGCGTTGATAATAAATAAATGCATCATCACAAAATATAACTAAGTACTTATAAAGTATTTGTTAAGTTCTTGCTAAGTACTTGATTTAAGTATTCACTAGGCCTAAGGTATGTTGAAATCCGTTTAATAAGTAATTATAAGTATTTAATAAGCATTTATAATAATATTTATAAGTATTTATAATAAATCTATTATATAATACAAGGCAGTGTTACACAAAAGACAAACACTATGAGACAAAAATATAATTTGATTGCCTGGTTATAGTGTTCCTATAAACCTGCAGTTCAAAAGAAAAAAGTAAATAATCGCAAAGATAAAAATACTTATATCTCACGATCTACTGGGCCAATTTTACCATTTTAACCACCTTTACTTAGGTATTGAAAAGAGGTCTACTTAGTAAAGAAAAAAATTTTTCTTTGAGAAACTCCAAAGTTAAAAAGTTTTTTTCATAATAAAAGTTTTAAATTTTTAACTAAAACATTTTCTTTACTAAGTAAATCTAATTTTTAACTTCTAACAAAAGTTGAAGAGAAGTATCTTGTGATCAAAATGGTAGTTAAAACGTTAAAATCAGCCCAGTAGATCTCGAGATATAAGTATTTTATCTTTGTTTTCTTCTTTATTTATATAAAAAAAAATTTTTTTCTTTAAAAAATAAA